CTCTCTTTTCTCTCTCTCTCTCTCTCTCTCTCTCTCTCCCCCCCCATTCGCTCTCTCCCTCACCCCCATTCGCTCTCTCCCATCCTTCTTTCTCTTGTCTCTCCTCATGTCTGTGCACCACATACCCCTCTCCTAGGCCTATATCAACACTGTCAATCAGAATTTCATCATTGTTTTATCTAAAAACATTGCGTATCATTCTATTTGAACTTCGATTGATGTCACATGGATACCATCAGTGCTAGCAGCATTATCATCAGCATTAGATAAAAGCCTGTTGGTATAATAAAACCCACAACTCACAAGCACCAAACACACCAGTCCAGAGGATGTGCAGAAAGAGAGAGAGGTTTCCTCAGAGCATGTGCAGCGACCCTAACAAGCACCGTCCCTTTCAGCAAACCGCATGGAGGACAAGGCAGACGAGCTCAAGAAAGAGTATGCTAAGCTTCACGAGCGCTACACAGAGCTCTTCAAGACGCACATGGACTACATGGAGCGCACCAAGATCCTCATGGGCACCGACAGATTGGACCAGCTGGGCTCGTCCAGAGGAAGAATTCCTGGCTTCACACTAGCCAATCTCAACAGGTGGGATCTACAGGCTTTTCTATTAATTTCTTTTATAAGATTTTTTTCCAATCATTTTTTATTTTATATTTTTATTGTTATTATTTCTTTTATTATTTTATTATTATTGTTGTTATGATTATGATTATGATTATGATTATGATTATTATTATTGTTTTTATTATTGTTATTATAATTGCTTTTGTTATTGTTAGTATTACTATTGCTATTTTAAGAACAGTTATAACTTTGTCTGATTAATCAGTTTTCTCTTTATCATGTTTGCTTTTGGAGTGATGACATTTTGGACATATATTTTAGTATATTTTCTTATCTACTTATTAAAGTCTCTTGGTTAATCTAAGTATTTTATACCAAACATATTTAGTATATTTTTTTCTGCTTACAGTGAAAGAGTGAAAAGGTTTTGGAATTTGATAATGTTTATTTTTAAGTTCAGTATTATAGCAAAGATTTTTGTTCAACCCTCCTTCCATTATGTGATTTATACTTTTTATGGTACTTTTTTAAGAATATATTAATTGATATCACACCAAACATGTCATAGATACAGAAATGACATACACAAGCATTGCATATGTTATACGAGCACCGGCCGCTAACATCCCATTCTGATTGCAGTGAACCACCTCTCTTTAGAACAGCCATTTATAACGGCCGTTCCTAGGCATTATTCAGGATATTTTTCCCACTGCAACCATCTCTGACCCATTAACATTCAAAATGGGGTAAGATAGCTGTGCATGACAAGAGGGCAAAGCTACGAATCGGGGAAAATATGCACCTAGCGTTTTTTTGCTTGTAGCACATCGGGGAGTTAAGATTTGTTGTGGAAGGGCTGACTTTGGGGTAAAAAACGCATTGGGCTCAGCGTTTGTCATATTGGTAAGGTGGTTGCACTGCTGTAAATTTTTGGATATGAGGTGTGGATGTACAAAGGTAAATGCATATGTATATGTATAAAGTATTTGGATTTAACTTCGTTATTGGTATTATTTTACTATTGTTTTCATCACCATTATCACTCCCATGACTGTAGTCTTGTTATCATCAGTATTTTTTTTATTGTTTATATATTTCATCTTTATAGAAAGTACATATGTTTCATGTATTGTCATTTTTATATTTGCTTCTCAGTATTTGCATTTTATTCAGACAGTTGATGTAGTGTGAACATTATTTTTGGAGAAAGCAAAGGAGAAAGTTATTTACTTTAGTTTTATTAATTTTTATCTCTATCTTTAGCAAAATGTTATGACATTTATTTCCATTGCTAATTATTCATATAAAGTAATTCTAGGGCCCAAAACTAACTTTATACTGTACAGCTCCAGAATCGAAAGTCAAATGTCCCAAGGTTCAGAAAGACATACAAACCTATTTTTGGGCCATTCTAGGTACACATAACCCTAAGTATTATTCATAGGCATTCATTAAAGAAGGAAAGTGAATTAGCCAATAAATTGAAATATGAATAAACAAAAGAGTCCCGCAAATCATTTGTTTACTGCAACAAACACCTGCAACAGAATTTCAAATACCTAGGGTGCATAGGAGTGTATTCTCATTCAGTTGCATATAATGCTGTGCCAAAGTCAGATGGCAGTAGATTTAACATTGCCTATTTTTAATGTATAGATATCCATTTAGTTTTTTTTTCTAATATTTAAAATTTTGCAAAAAATCTGGAAACTGCCTCCCAAATTGCCAAACTAGTAACAGATCAGTGGTTGAAGTTATGATTTTACTTGGATATTTTCTTCTGTTTTGGGGGGTGATGACATGAGCCAAATATATAGACAACAGACATATATACCTCACTTGGCATCAGCTAGTAGGGTTTGACTATACTTCAACCCACAACAATGAAACACACTGGCTTATGGCCATCCCATCCTTAAGTTTATTCTCTTTTTTAACCATCTAACCAGCCCAAAAGATGAGATAAAAAGAAAGAGAAGAAAAAATAGTGAGGATGTCCTGTTTACAATTCTTGCAATCCCTGGTACTGGGACATTGTTAGTTTGTGGCCCTGGAAGACTCCTTTATAGCAAGAATTATTCATTATGTTATTACATTATAGTAGTTAACGAGTTAGAATTAGTCTCATTTTTTTTTCTTCCATGTTTTGAATCTTATCTGTTTAACAACTTTGACTGGCATTGCTATTGGTGTTTTCTTTGCTGAATTCCTTGGATTAATTTGAGGTAAGAATTTCATTGTAGGGTCAGGAGAGATGAAGCAAAGAGCCCATCTTTTCAATCTCTTGACTCTCTTGGGAATCTCTCACGCAGTCTGACGTACAGTCCGTTTTGGGCTTGGAGCTTGGCAACATTATGCACACAGTCCTCAAAGTGCATTCTAAAAATTGACCTTA